ATCAATTATATTTCCCCAATTTGAGTCATAGTAAGTTTTGACACATTCAGGTACATTCGTAACCATTTCCGTGTAAATCTCATTGTAATTAGTTTCTGAAGTTGTGTATGCCAGTTTTTGCAAATATTGTTTGCTGATTTGAACTTCATCGGATGTAATACCCATTTTTTTAGTTGACACTTCCCTATTAAATATTTGAAAAACGTGAAAAAGACATATCATCAATTTAGCATTAGGAAAGCTTTTCGAAAAAACCTTCCTCTCTGTTCTGTCTTTGTCAGACATAACTACTTGTACTCTTTCCCAAGCAGAATTTCGATTTTTAAAAGTATTTATAAAAAAATTCAAGGACTCTTCATTTTCTTCGGCAATCAAGCAAATTGCAACGATTTCACTCGAACCATTTCCATCTTCTATCATTATTATATATGTGGCGAAGCGTAAATCTACTAAACAATACGTTCCATCAATAAAAATAATTTCGGGATATGCGTTTATATAGCTTTTCATACGATCATCTTGAAAATAAAGACCTTTAAAAATGTCATTTTTGTCTACTAAAATTTCGATCTCACTGCAACCATGATTTTGTTTTAAAATCCTAACACATTCTTCGAGATTTTTTTTTTGAGGTTTTGATCTATTGTTTAAATTAGTGAGATCTTTTAATGTTAGTCTGCAACCCGTTTCTTTTGTTATTTGTTTTAAAATAATTTTTTTATTTGCTCCTGCGTTTAAAGCATGTTGTGTATTAAATTTAATATTTTTGGGCAAGTTTAACCTCTCTTTTGCAAGAGAATTAAAATATGCTTTTGACGACGTATGATTGTGGTCATTTTTAATTTCTTGTATGAAAAGAAATTTCTTACAGCTACTTACTTTTACAAAAATACTCGCTGGACACTGCTGTTTGTAAGTGCTACATTTTCTAACAGACTTTTCATTTTTGCTTTTAAACGGCCTTCCTCCTCTAACACAGGCTAGGCGAATGTAATAATACCTAAGCGATAAATTAATGTTTAATACAGTATTAGGATTTCGATGTTTTTGTTTTTCGATTGTTCTGCTATCACGTAACCAATACTCATTATTTGTATTTTGTTTAAAGTCCGTTAATGCACTTTCAAACTCCTCATATGAAGAAAACTTATCACCAACTTTCATTTTTTTCACTACCTGTTTCACAATCACAACAATTACTATAAAACAGTACACAAGAAAATGAAAGACACCAACACATTTTTAGGTTATAAGCGATGCGCCGGTACCCGAGTCTAGACACAGCGCAATAACTAGGCTACCGGAACCGGTTTCCATATGCATTTTATAAGATTGCCGGACCCGGCATCCGTAGTAAAAAAATTTGGAAGCCAGCGCCGGCAGCGGAGTCACTTCCAATAAACAAATACTTAAACATACATAATTTTTGTATCAAAATAAATGGAAATAAATTGTCAAAATATGTTTAGTATTTGTTTGATAGTTGCAGTTGACGGTTTTTTATAGATAAAATTATAATTATATAATTTAGGAAATTTAAAATGTTTTTTTGCTAATTTTTTTTATTGAGCATAATTAATTATGTTAATTGAAATAGAAAGCATAGGAATGTTGGATAAGAGGCAATAGTATATTATGTATCAAGTTTGATAAAAGCCATTTTATACACGAATTTAATTTAGGCACGAGCGAGCTTGCGAGCGAGTGCTTAAATTAATGAGTGTATAGAAAAGTTTATAAACGAGGTGCATACTATACTTTTTCTACGACAAATACTTATTATTATCTTAAAATGATTTAAATTAAAAATTTGTATAGAGCGCCATCTATGAAACAATAGGGGAATCTGTGTGTCACCGGCAAATGTCACATTTTTATTATTTTATAAACACAGATTATAAAGGTTATAAATCGAAATGTATTTCTTGAAAATTGACAGTTTTTCACAGTGAAAGTAAAGAAAATGTTTTATGATTGATTGATTGATTGATTTGATTAAGTTATAGTTTACTGCCGGCGAAATTAAAAGGTCAGTACAATGTTCATATAAACTTTTCAAATATTGGCGTTGAAAAACTATTTAATACTTTTGTATTTAATAATAAAATAATTGTCACATTTAGTATTATTTTACAAGAAAGGCACTTTATTTTAACGATTGTATGACATTTGACAACTGTCAACTAACTTAAAACTAACTTCAGCCCGTGACTAAAAACCTGTTGCTAACTTCAGCCCGTGACTAAAGCGCCATAAAGCCACAACTTGTCAATGTGTATTTAAAAGGTCACTTAGTGTCATGGAAACATGTACGATAAAGGGCGTTTTAAAAGGTGGGAGTAGAAAAAACAGTTTTTAAGTAAATTTTTCATATAATATGGAAATTACGATATCTCAAAAACTGCTCTACTTTCATAATGTTTGACGGTCTTTTCGGATTCAGGGGACAATTTTACATAATAATAAGCTGTTAAATTTTCAGCATACAAATTGCTGTGGACTACAGTTATTAGTTTCACTTTAAAAACTAGTCATTTTTGACTGATTCATTTTTAGAGAGTGCGTCACTAAAAACCAGTTGAAGTTATTATATTGTTTATATAGTTTTTTTTCGTTTTTTTTAGAGTATTTTTATTACTAAATATTTTTTGTGATTTTGTTTGTTTGGTAATTTAATAAATATTTTTTATACTTAATTTCAGCAGTTTTTTTTACATTTTCAATTACATTTTGCAGTTTGTTGAAAATATATATTTTTGAAATTTTATGGCTTAAAGTTAATAGTATATTATGTATCAAGTTTGGTAAACGCCATTTTATACACGAATTTAATTTAGGGAACTATTTAATACTTTTGTATTTTTGTATTGAGATAATAAAATAATTTTAACATTTAGTAGAGGAAGTGGGGGTAATTCGGAATACTGTTGGTAATTTGGAATACTTAAATATTGAGGCTATGCTTAGCGCCATCTCGTTAAATATGAAATAAACTACTAGAATAGCCTGTATTTTGTGGACATGTGATTTTGTAGATATTTTAATTTATGGTAGAAGGCCAACACATGTGAAAAATTAATTGTGGGGTAACTAAAACTTTTTTAGTGGTAATTAAATCGGCAATCATAGCTTCGATTTTTATCTTTAAATTAACTTAAATTGTGTCCTCAGGTAAGTAAAGGGTTATATTTTTAGTTGTTAATTGTACTTTTTCGATATGTTAAAGCATTTACTTTTTTTTACATATTATGGCGTAGGTCTTTATATTGCTAATTTGGAATACTATAAATAATGCAAATTTGAAATATTCCAAATTATATTCATTTTTTGTAATATTTGATAATCAATCCAATTTTCTCTTTTAATTAATATTTGGTTACCTTTTTAAAATGTTTTATTAACCTTTTTAATATAAAACATTTGCTGCTACTTTGAAATATTCCAAATTGGTGGTATTCCAAATTAACTTCATGTTACGTAAACAGAGATTTTTTACACTTTTTTTTTCATTGGTGAAAAAATCCTTTTAAAGTATTTTAAATAGTTTAAAATTTTCGTCTGGCATAGTACAAATGTAGATCTTGGACATGTTATTTATTTTAATCGAAATAATTTAAATTTAAATTTTTTGCTATTTTTTTTTAAACTACTATTCCAAAATACCCTCACTTCCTCTATTATAAAGGTCACTTAGTATCATGGAAACATGTTCGATAAAGGGCGTTTTAAAGGTGGGAGTAGAAAATAGTATATTATGTATCAAGTTTTATAAACGCCATTTTAGTTACGAGTTTTATTAGGCACGAGTGAAGCTTGCGAGCGAGTGTTTAATAAAAACGAGTGTCTAGAGAAGTTTATAAACGAGTTGCATACTATACTTTATCTACGACGAACACAAAACAGAATTTAAAGCCAATTTTATTTGTTAAAATTTTGACATCTGTCAACTGTCACCCGAATTTAACCTCACTTTTTCCCAATTTATAATAAAGCTAACTTCAGCCCGTGGCGTAAAATGTCGAAAAGCCACTGTTGTTAACTTCAGCCCGTCAATAAAACGCCATAAAGTCACAGCTCGTCAATGTAGGAGTAGATAAAATATTTAATGTATTATATTTAAATATAAAAGGGGCGCACCCCAGGAACGGGCCTGGGTTTGGACCTTGGAGATCGCAATAAGTGCATTAGTGTTTCTTGGAAAACTAATGGCTTTTCTAAAATAATTTGATCACAATATTTATTTATCTTATCAGACGACAATAGTATTAATACAACCAAAATGATTTCGTTAAAATAAATTATTTGTGATAATATGTCGCATGCCGCGTGTGTTGTTTTATTTCAAATATTGTTGATTGCCAAAACTGTGGAACCATTATTGTCTTGTAAGTAAAAAGTTATACCTTTACAAGCATATTATATAAATTTAAATTGTAGTTGCCAATCCAGACGAATTATGCCCTAAAGGGTTTAAATATCATCAAGGTGGATATTGTTACATTATTAAAAGTTCAAAGTTCAAAAAACAATCATGTCCATACTTGAACAATATTTATATACAACGAATTTATCAAGAAATAAAACAAAGTACATATTTACCAGTAAGTAGAGATTCTTTAACTGAACCTTTTGTGCTGAGGACTCGGGCACAATACGGTGAAATTTTTAACACAACTTTATCACAAATAAAATCAAAAGGAAATTGTTTGTACTTTAACGTAGAAAATGGATTGATTCATCCCGTGGATTGCAATTTAAAATTAAACATGATTTGCTTATATGAAATAAGAGGTGAATGCAAAGTCAATTCCTGTTTTAGTTATTTTACTAAACCAGAAGTTTGCTACTACCAGCAAGACCTTCCTGACTTAAACAATTATGATTTCTTAAATAATACAATTTTGGGTTTATTTTATACGAAAACCTCTAAATTATCTTTCCTTAATATGGTAACTTCTACTACTGAAAAATCAAACTCAACTTCTTCGACAACTACTGAAATGACCTCTACGCCTAGAAAAAAACTCAGGGATTATCATAGAACCGACTTTTGCAATAACAAGTTTGCCGAATTTTCAGAAAAATATATGGTACTTAATGCAAACAATATATTGTTTTACGAAAAATGTTGGATTGGAGTGATAACTAACGAAGATGCAAGCATCGTATGGCAATCGTCGAGATTGCCGATCAACGAAGATTTTTTAAGTTTCATCGATAAGAAAAATGTTATACCAAAATCTTCGTATGGATATACAGAACACTCGACGTGGTATTTTAAAGATGAAAACGATTTGTATGGATTGAATTGTGGAATTTGTCAGATGAAGATCAGTTTTTCCCCCAAACGATTGCAGATTTTTCTTGATCTTTTCGAAACCGAAATACAAGTGACTGTGGAAAACACAGTGAATGCTTTAAATAATAAAATTTATTGTTACAGCGGAACTAAAACCTATGCATTTTCAGACAGACTGGAATTTCAAGCTTATGATAATTTTGCTATTACTTTTAACCCTTTTTATTATTTTTGGTGTGAAGCATTCGATGTAAATTTTAAATCTTACGTTAAAAGTAATATAATTTTTAACAAATATTATGATACAGCGCTGGATTACGTGGTTGAAATGCATATATATAATTTAGATGATCCTTTTAAACCTGATGTAAACCAATTAAAAATAATATGCGAGGGGTTAGAATGTACAATAAAACCATTTCAAATTATAGACATAAATGAAACATATTCCTCGATTCTTTTTCATCTCAACTTTTTTCAACCCTTTACCAATTCAGAATATGAAATAGAATGGATAAATAAATGCAGCAGTTTTCATAACTCCTATTTCTTATGTAAGAGCATCAGAAAAACATATACATGCTTGGAAAGAACAAAAGGTAAATACTGTCGTCAATATTTTACATATCAATATTTTACATGCTATTTTTCAGATGGTTTACTTTGGCCAACGACGGGAATAGGAAAAATTGCCGTTCCAAACAACTGTTCAGAGACTCCGATAAAAAGTACGTGTGAAGGAAATTTTACAGACGGAGCTTCCTGGTCATCACCAACAGGTACCTATACGGTTTGCGATAAAGTCACCAGCCAACTTCATGACTTATTCGTATCAAATAATACGGAAGAAACTATTGAAGTTTTAAGTAATATGTCGGCCAACTTTCATAAAACTGTAACGTTGATGCAGATGCAGTATTCAGCAATGCTTGTTTTAAATTTTGCCAGATCTTTAACTTTAACTACTGGTAACGATAGTTTTTACAACGTGGTTGATAATATAATAAGAAGTGACAGAGCGGTTTTAAAAGAATCACAATCCGAAATGAATTCAACTGATATTGTATTGGATTCATTGGAAACATTTAATCTGAAACAAGACGTTGATGTGGAAATCAACAGTGAAGGTTATTTTGTGAGGAAAAATCGAATTAGCTCGACACACGTTGGTTGGATGATATTCAAAAATAACACCATAAAGCCCATTTCGAAGCAGTATAATCAGGGGGAAATTTTGGGGGAGGGTCCTATAGTGGTTGCTTATTTTACAGGAATTTCACAGTTCAATAATTCTCATACAGCAATTTTTTCATTTTTCAAAGATAATAGTTTATTCAATGATGACAATGCCAGTAGTTTACCATGGGTTGTAAGTGTCTCAGTTCCTGGGTTTGATGAGAAACTAATTTCGCCCATCCGAATTCTTTTAAAACGGACTAATAATACGTTTAAAACGCTTTCTTGTTCTCATTGGTACTATGGTCGAGATGAAGAAGAATTAAACATACAAGGGTTTTGGAAGAATGATAACACTACATCATTGCAGGATGGTGAATATTTGATTTGTGAATATAATCACATGACAAATTTCGGAATGCTTCTTAGTGATGAAGTGACAGATAGTTTCGTGCTGAACTTCATCACCATAGTGGGAATTTCTTTATCTATAACTGGGGCTTTATCAGTTATAGCTTCGACTCTTATTTTTAAGAAAGTAAAGGATAAAAAAAATATCATTATAATTTTAAATTTTCTTTCGAGTATCATTTTATTACCGCTGGCTTTATTTGTTTCCAATGTAATCGATGAAGGCACCTCCTGTAAAGTTGCAGGTATTTTTCTTCATTACTGCCTATTAACTCAGTCCTCTTGGACTGTAGTTTTATCATATTTTCAATACAGACGGTACGTACAAGTATTTGTGAATTACAAGCAAAACATTTTGCGAAAAAGTTGCTTGGTTGGTTGGTTGGTACCTCTTCTTCCAGTGGTTTTATTAGCAAGCATTTCCGTGAATTCGTACCACAAGAACGAATCCAATTTATGTTACTTATCAGGGTTTAATATTAAGATGTTTGTTGTGGCTCCTATTTTGGTTATATTAACTTTTAACATTTCCATATTTATTTATATAATCTACTCCATAATGCATTCTGTGCAGACTGCAAATACTTTTAATAAAAAATCGTTGGTATACAGTGTTGTTAAACTTTCTTACTACCTGTTTTTTTTATTCGGTCTTTCTTGGTTGTTTGGTTTGTTTTTTGCATTTACTGGAAACATCTACCTTAATTACATATTTACATTGACAACATCCTTACAGGGATTTGTCGTTTGTTTTCATTACGTGATAAATATAAAACAAAAACAGCATAAACTCGAAATGTCAGCCAATACTTCAAAAACTAACAAAATCAAATCTGGTGATACAGCAGTTACTAAATTAAAAGAAAGTGGTTGACTAATTCATTCTTGTATAAGCAAATTTACAAAAAAACCTATTAGTGACGTAAGTTCCCTTGTAAACTGAATTTTGACATGTTTTTGCGTTTAAAAAAATAATTGTTTACTACTCGAAAACTCTATCTCTATGTATAGAAACCCTAACATACAGTACCATGTTTACCTAAGCAAATAAAATGTTTTTTTTAATACTTCTTTTTTTTTTTTTTGTTTTACCCTTTTGTACTATGTTCGGTCGACTATCAACGGTACGAACAACACAAAAAAAGTAAGGTAACTTTGTTAAAAAAAGTATACCTATTTATTTACCTACCCTTAAAATTGTTATAAGTTTAGTAACTTTAGAGACCAACCGTTTTAAAGGGCCCAAAAATATGTCTAAAAGATTGTCAGTGTATTATGGTTTAAAGTGTAATCCTAAAACACTTATTAAAGCTCAATTTAAAAACAATCACAGGATATCAGTCTTTTTTATCGCTGCTTTAAAACCATGTTCTCCTTAAGAGCACTATAGAACCAAAGAGTTTTAAAATAGCATATTAATTAATGCTCATAAAACCGTATTAAAGCTTTATCATATAGTTTTAAACTATTCTATAAAACATTTATCCTGCAGTCTTATTAGAAAAATATATTGCCTTAATAAAACCGCCTCTCTTTTTTGTGCAACAATAAAACCATAATAAACCCATTATTAAAACAAGCTTTCTTAAAAAATTTTACTTGGGTAGTGTTACTTGGAAAACTAATTGATTGTCTAAAAATAAAACTACCACATTATCAATTAATTTATTCACACTATTAATTTATCTTATCAGACGAAAATGGTAACATACAACCAAAAGAATTTTGTTAAAAAAATTTATTTGTTATAATATGTCGTTTTCCGCCTGTGTTGTTTTATTTCAAATATTGTTGATTACCAAAACTGTGGAACCATTATTTTATTGTAAGTCAAAATTTATATCTTTATACACTGGCGTAGCGACAAATCTTCACTGGGCCCCCTGATTTCACATATTTTTTACATATTTATTTTATTGAAAATAAAAAAGGAAACATAAAATAACAATAACAACTTTTTTTACAAAAGGCGTATTTTTATAACATAAAAAGATAACTATGGAACGCCGTTTTAGCATTAATTAGATAAAAGTTTAAAGATTAAAGTTTAGCACTTAAATTATGTTTTAACAGAAATTTATAAAGTTAAATTTTTTTAAACTCAAAACAATTGATAGTCAAAAAATATTTTAAATATAAAATGCAACAGTAACAATTTATGTTTAAAAATATTGATTTTTAAAAGTTTTGGTTATAATATTTTATTCTACAAAATTATTGCTTTAAATTTTAAAAGAGTCATTTAAATGATAGTTGATACATTTTTAATACAAAAATTCTCACATTACATTTAAATGTAAGTTTTAAATTTTAAAGTAGTACTTTTTGGATTAAAAATTTATCGACAATCATTTAAATGACTCTTTACAAATTTAAACCAAAATTTTTTATTTTTAACAATTTTAAAGTGCTATATTTTAAGACAAAATTTATAACTTCACATTTAAATGTAAGTCGATAATTTTTAAATTACAAAGTGTAAACGTAGCTTTAGTAGAAGGCACAAGAGTCTGGGATCGGAGCCACGATGCAGCCAGTTTGATCCGCAGTGTTGCCAAATCGTGCTTGCTCCATAAATATTTGACGCGTTTTAGAAATCATCGTATTGAAATGTTTGTTTATTAAATAAATTTAATTATAGAAAAACAACATTTTTAGTGCCTATTGTACTAAGATAATTTGACAATTAAAAACATTTTTTCTAATTTTTAAGAGAACATTTTTTAAAATGTATTGCCACAATATTATCTACGTGGATGCAACCCTATACCTATAACTTATAGGTTATAGGTATATGGATGCAACATACAAATTCCCGCTTTCCGGCTTTTGTGGTGAGGTTAAGTGTTAAGCCTGATTTATAGATTGCCTTCCTTCCTTTCTCCCGTTGAAGATGAACAATACAATCCCGTACGGGAATCTATAAACGGCACTGGGAATTTGTTTGATGCATCCACGTAATATTGTGGCACCACATTTTAAAATTTTTTCTCTTAAAAATTAAATAAAATGTTTTTTAATTGACGAATTAACTAAATGTTGTTGTTCTATTATTAAATTTATGTAATAAAGAAACATTTCATAATTTGTAAAACGCGTCAAATATTTATGGAGCAAGCACGATTTGGCAACACTGCGGATCAAACTGGCTGCATCGTGGCTTCGATCCCAGACTCTTGTGCCTTCTACTAAAGCTACGTTTACACTTTGTAATTTAAAAATTATCGACTTACATTTAAATGTAAAGTTATTAATTTTGTCTTAAAAATGTATCAATTTAAAATTGTTAAAAATAAAAGTTATTGGTTTAAATTTGTAAGTCATTTAAATGATAGTCGATAAATTTTTAATGCAAAAATTAACACTTTAAAATTTAAAACTAACATTTAAATGACTCTTTACAAATTCAAACCAATAATTTTGAAGAATATAATATTAAAATTACATTTTTTAAACATCAATATTTTTAAACTTAAACATTTACAGTTTCATTTTATATTTAAAATATTTTTTATTATCATAGGTTTTGAGTTTACAAAAATTTAACTTTTTAAACTGTTTAGGTAGAAAATGTTTTATATGTGTTTTTATTTTAAATGGCTTGATACTAGTTTTAAATACTAAAAAATTTAACTTTACCAAATTAATCTCAATAATTTTATAAAATATTTATTGCCACCCAAATAAATTATACTTACTTGGTAAATAATTTTATTAAAAATTGATAGTTAGAAATTAATGCAAAAATTGATAGAACATAATATTGTTTAATACAGAAGTGAACTGTTAGTTAGTAAATTTTTTCTTTCAATACATGATAGTTGAAAAGATATTAAATTTATAAATGTAAACCTAAAATTTTTAGTTAGGAAAATTTTAAACCAATAAAATTTTAAATTAAACAATTATTTAATAAATGTTAAAACGGCGTGCCATAGATAACAGTGTTGCCATAATTTTTGCAGATAATACGATGGAAATACGTTTTTTAATGTTTTGGGGAAAGTATTGGCCTGGCCCCTACGAGGTGTGGGCCCCCCGCGGTGGCAAGCGTTCGGGGTACTGTCGCTACGCCACTGCCTTTATAAGCATGTTATATACCTAATGTGCAATGTTAAATTGTAGCAACCGATTCAGATGAATTGTGCCCTCAAGAATTTAAATATCATCCTGGAGGATATTGTTACATTATTATAAGTTCAACGTTCAAAAAACAATCATGTCCATACTTGAACAATATTTATATACATCGCATTTATCAAGAAATAAACCAAAGTACATATTTACCAGTAAGTAGAGATTCTTTAACTGAACCTTTTGTGCTGAGGACACAGGCACAATACGGTGAAATTTTTAAGAAAACTTTATCACAAAAAAAATCAAAAGGAAATTGTTTGTACTTTAACGTAGATAATGGATTGATTCATCCCGTAGATTGCAATTCCAAATTAAACAGGATTTGCTTATACGAAATAAGAAGTGATTGCAAGGTCAATTCTGGTTTTAGTTATTTTACTAAACCAGAAATTTGCTACTCAGTTACAACTACTAAAATGACCTCTACGTCTACAAAAAACCCCGGGGGTTATCATAGAACCGACTTTTGCAATAACAAGTTTGCCGAATTTTCAGAAAAATATATGGTACTTAATGCGACAAACAATACCAGAGAATGTTGGATTGGGGTGATAACTAACGAAGATGCAAGCATCGTATGGCAATCGTCGAAACTGCCGATCAATGAAGATTTTTTAGGTTTCATCAATAAGACAAAAGTTATACCAAAATCTTCGTATGGATATACTACTAAAGACTTGAAGTGGAATTTTAAAGATAAAAACGATTTGTATGGATTGAATTGTGGAATTTGTCAGATGAAGATCAATTTTTCCCCCCAACGATTGCAGATTTTTCTTAAACTTTTTAAACTTTTAGAAACCAAAATAGAAGTGACTGTAGAAAACGCAGTGAATGCTTTCAATAACAGAATTTATTGTTACTGCGGAACTAAAACCTATGCATTTTCATACAGACTGGATAATCAAGCTTATGATAATTTTGCTGTTAAAATTTATAGGCCTTTTTATTATTTTTGGTGTGAAGCATTTGATGTAAATTTTAAATCTTACGTCAGAAGTAATATAATTTTTAACAAGTATTATGATACAGCACTGGATTACGTGGTTGAAATGCATATATATAATTTAGATGATCCTTTTAGACCTGATGTAAACCAATTGAAAATAATATGCGAGAAGGCAGGTTGTACATTGAACCCATTTAAAATTATAGACATAAATGATACATATTGCTCGATTCTTTTTCATCTTAACTTTTTTCAACCCTTTACCAATTCAGAAAATGAAATAGAATGGATAAATAAATGCAGCACTTTTCATACCTCCTACTTCAAATGTAAGAGCATTAGAAAAACGTATACTTGCTTGGAAGAAACAAAAGGTAAATGCTGTCAACAATATTTGACATATCAATATTTAACATGCTATTTTTTAGATGGTTTGGTTTGGCCAACAACGGCAATAGGAAAAATTGCCGTTCCGAACAACTGTTCAGAGACTCCTATAAAAAGAAGTTGTGAAGGAAATTTCACATTTGGTGCTTCATGGTCAGCACCAACAGGTACCTATACGGTTTGCAATAAAGTCACCACCCAACTCCATGACTTATTCGTATCAAATTGTACGGAAGAAACTATTGAAGTTTTAAGTAATATGTTGGCCAACTTTCATAAAACTGTAACGTTGATGCAGATGCAGTATTCAGCAATGCTTGTTTTAAATTGTGCCAGGTCTTTAACTTCAACTGCTGGTAACGACAGTTTTTACAACGTGGTTGATAATATGATGAGAAGTGACAGGTCGGTTTTAAAAGAATCACAATCCGAAATGAACTCGACTGATATTGTATTGGATTCACTGGAAACATTCAATCTGAAACAAGATGTTGATGTGAAAATCAACCGTGAAGGTTATTTTGTGAGGAAAAATCGAATTAACACGACACACGTTGGTTGGATGGTATTCAAAAATAACACCATAAAGCCCATTTCGGAGCAGTATAATCAGGGGGAAATTTTGGGGGAGGGTCCTATAGTGGTTGCTTATTTTACAGGAATTTCACAGTTCAACAATTCTCATGCAGCAATTTTTTCATTTTTCAAAGATAATAGTTTATTCAATGATGATAATGCCAGTAGTTTACCATGGGTTGTAAGTGTCTCAGTTCCTGGGTTTGATCAGAAACTAATTTTGCCCATCCGAATTCTTTTAAAACGGACTAATAATGCGTTTAAAACGCTTTCTTGTTCCCATTGGTTCTATGGTCGGGATGAAGAAGAAGTAAACATACAAGGGTTTTGGAAGAATGATAACACTACATCATTGCAGGATGGTGAATATTTGGTTTGTGAATATAATCACATGACAAATTTCGGAATGCTTCTTAGTGATGAAGCGAAAGATAGTTTTGTACTGAACTTCATCACCATCGTGGGAATTTCTTTATCTATAACTGGGGCTTTATCAGTTATAGCTTCGACTCTTATTTTTAAGAAAGTAAAGGATAAAAAAAATATCATTATAATTTTAAATTTTCTTTCGAGTATCATTTTATTACCGCTGGCTTTATTTGTGTCCAATGTAATCGATGAAGGCACCTCCTGTAAAGTTGCAGGTATGTTTCTTCATTACTGCCTATTATCTCAGTCCTCTTGGACTGTAGTGTTATCATATTTTCAATACAGACGTTACGTGCAAGTATTTGTTAATTACAAGCAAAATATTTTGCGAAAAAGTTGCTTGGTTGGTTGGTTGGTACCACTTCTTCCAGTGGTTTTATTAGCAAGCATTTCCGTGAATTCGTACCACAAGAACGAATCCAATTTATGTTACTTATCAGGGTTTAATATTAAGATGTTTGTTGTGGCTCCTATTTTGGTTATATTAACTTTTAATATTTCCATATTTATTTATATAATCTACTCCATAATGCATTCTGGGCAGACTGCAAATACTTTTAATAAAAAATCGTTGGTATACAGTGTTGTTAAACTTTCTTACTACCTGTTTTTTTTATTCGGTCTTTCTTGGTTGTTTGGTTTGATTTTTGCATTTTCTGGAAACATCTACCTTAATTACATATTTACATTGACAACATTCTTACAGGGATTTGTCGTTTGTTTTCATTACGTGATAAATATAAAACAAAAACAGCATAAAATCGAAATGTCAGCCAATACTTCAAAAACTAACAAAATCAAATCTGGTGATACATCAGTTACTAAATTAAAAGAAAGTGGTTGACATTCTTGTATAAGCAAATTTACAAAAAAACCTATTAGTGACGTAAGTTCCCTTGTAAACTGAATTTTGACATGTTTTTGCGTTTAAAAAAATAATTGTTTACTACTCGAAAACTCTATCTCTATGTATAGAAACCCAAACATACAGTACCATGTTTACCTAAGCAAATAAAATGTTTTTTTGTAATACTTCTTTATTTTTTTATGTTTTACCCTTTGGTACTATGCTCCACACCTCAAAGTCCCACCACGTGACTACGTACGGAACGCAGTCTTTTGAAAATTTGTCATTTAAGGCTTTTCAGGTTGTGTACTCTGATTGGTGGTTTTATATATGTAAGTAAGTAGGTAAAGAGTTTACTATCTTTGCTGGTAAGTAGGAGCTTCACAGGCTTTAAATATTTTGCCTCTGTTCGGTCGACTATCAACGGTACGAACAACAAAAAAAAAGTAAGGTTACTTTGCTAAAAAAGTATACCTATTTATTTACCTACCCTTAAAATTGTTATAAGTTTAGTAACTTTAGAGACCAACCGTTTTAAAGGGCCCGAAAATTTGTCTAAAAGATTGTCAGTGTATTATGGTTTAAAGTGTAATCCTAAAACACTTATTAAAGCTCAATTTAAAAACAATCACAAGATATCAGTCTTTTTTATCGCTGCTTTAAAACCATGTTCTCCTTAAGAGCACTATAGAACCAAAGAGTTTTAAAATAGCATATTAATTAATGCTCATAAAACCGTATTAAAGCTTTATCATATAGTTTTAAAATATTCTATAATACATTTATCCTGCAGTCTTATTAGAAAAATATATTGCCTTAATAAAACCGCCTCTCTTTTTTGTGCAACAATAAAACCATAATAAACCCATTATTAAAACAAGCTTTCTTAAAAAATTTTACTTGGGTAGTGTTACTTGGTAAATAATTGATTGTCTGAAAATAAAACTACCACATTATCAATTAATTTATTCACACTATTAATTTATCTTATCAGACGAAAATGGTAACACAACCAAAAGAATTTCGTTGAAAAAAAATTATTTGCATGGATAATATGTTGTTTTCCGCGTGTGTTGTTTTATTTCAAATATTGTTGATTACCAAAACTGTGGAACCATTATTTTATTGTAAGTCAAAATTTATACCTTTATACACTGGCGTAGCGACAAATTTTCACTGGGCCCCCTGATTTCACATATTTTTTACATATTTATTTTATTGGAAATAAAAAAGGAAACATAAAATAACAATAACAACTTTTTTACAAAAAGCGAAAGAAATTTTTTAAAAAAATAAGGTTCTCCACTGTATTTCGTAAATAAAATAAAAAGATAACAGCCCAAGTAGCACAACTGGTTAAATTAAAGTTAAATTTACGTTATGTCTGGTTAATTCATTTAAGTAATATTGTACTAAAACGTTAAATTAACCTAAAATTAACGTTATTTTGTAATAAGTGGGGAATTCAATTATGGTAAAATTAACGTTATGTTAGTTAAATGTAACTTCTTGGTTAATATACCTTTTGGTTAACAAGAAGTTAATATTTGGTAGTTTTTGGTTTATTTTACCCTTTTTTAACTACTTTCCCAGCGAACAGAAAAGCGTGAAAAACACGTGACATTTTCGTAATATTTCAACCAAAAGACGTGTTTTTTTTACGTATATAATACGAGTTATCAACGTTGGAATGTCACATTTTTATGACGTTTTTTGTGGACGTAATTAAAACGTGTTAGTTAGACGTAAAAAAAACGTCCCCCTTAACGTGGTTAAGACGATTCTTAAAGACATCTTTAATACGTCTTTACGTCCATTTTTAGACGTCTTTAAGGTACAACATTGACGTGTTTTGGTTGTTGAATAATTTCTCAAAAATAGTGCTGTTTAACATTAAATGTTAAACTTTTGCTAAAAGTAATTAGCGGGGCCCACTGCTTACTTTTTGCAGAGTGGGCTACAGGACCAGCTGTTTCCCTTCAAAACTTACAAGCAGAACCGATATGGTCAGTAATTTTGTCTTAGTAAGAAATTCTTATTTAGCAGCTTAAGGCATTCCACCTTTATAGGACTATATATTGTGCTACAGAGGCGAGAGGGATGCATGGGTTGCCTACATATTGGCGAATTTTGAAACATTTTGATGACGTCGCATATTCGTCCGATTCTGGTATGAAATAAGTGGTCAGATAATGGCGAGAAATATACGTCATTTTTACGTTTTATTTTTACGTCTTAAACGTCGTTCGTCATTTTCTGTTTGCTGGGTAGTTTGGTACATATTTCGTCTAAATTTTACGTGTATCAAACGTATTTATAAAACTTCTCAGAATTCCTGTGGTAAGTAACTTCTTGATTTCGACTGAAAGAACTGTATGTGAAGTTTTTTTATGTTTATGTAATATTTTTAACAAATATAGAAATTTCATTTTTGTTAAAACATTCGTTTTTTGAAAACGTTTATTTCACGTCAATATTCCGTTACTTTAAAACTCGTTAAATAACAACCAAAATGCGACGTGAATAACACGAGTTGGTTACAGCTCTGTTAGCTGGGTTTTAACTCTTAAGTTCACTTAAACTATAATGAACTGGTTTAAGTTTATTTTACCCAAGCAACACAGTTTCATCTAAAAGATGATAATTAGACGTCGTCGACAGATATCTATAGATATCTATAGATCATATTGTTTAGAATGCTTATTCGCATCGAAATGTCCCCGAGATAGACGTATAAATTAGGTACGTTATTATATCATTATAAGAGCATAGGTCTAAATTTGATCTTATATAAGTATTGCGTTAGATGATATATACATATATAGTTTTAATATGGACCTCTTATCTATGTATTTAGGAAATATCTATATTCAGACTAAATTAAGCAGAGCAATGATCTAAAATTCATCTAAATCCTTTTTGTTTTAGATGAGTATATATGTAGTCCTATTATGGACGTCTTCAGTCTAAAATGAGCCGAGGTCTAAATTTAATCTAAATGCTTCTTTTTTTAGATGAATATATATGTATGTTTTATCTATGTTTTTAGGAGATGACCATATTTAGGCTAAATGCTTTTTTTCTTAGGCCAGAGTATCTGTAATCCTAATATAGACGTCTTATTTATTTTTTTAGGAAATGTTTACATTCAGGATATAGATTGAGCACGACAGAGGTCTAAATTTAATCTAAATAATTGTTCCTTTAGATTACTATTATAGTATATTATTATTATTATAATATAAGTATACTTATACAGTCATCTAAAGTAACAATTATTTAGATCAAATTTAGACCTCTGTCGTGCTCAATCTATATTCTGAATGTAAACATTTCCTAAAAAAATAATACGACGTCTATATTATAATATAGACGTCCTATAGGATAACAGATATACTCGTCTAAGAAAAAAGCGCTCAACCTAAATATAGTCATCTCCTAAAAACATAGAGGAGTGCGGGGTACATTGCTTAAGCAAGAATTCTTGTAAGAAATTCTACAAATATAAAAAGTCTTTTAATGAATTTCTTTCTTCATATTTTATTTTCAATAAAAGCCAAACAGTTTTATATAAAATAACAAAAATCCTTAAAAAAATAACAAAATAAAGTAGCAAAAATAAGTTCTATTTTTGGTATCCCTTTGGTTTCTTTTTAAATCTAAGTTACTTTAAATATATATTATTAATTATTTTTATTTTTATTATAATTATAACACTGGGTTACCCTTAAGTAGGTTTTATTATGGTGTTATCCGTTAATTCAGCTGACGCGTTTATTCCGCTGTTGATAAAATATAGAAACACAGCATCTGAAAGGAACAAGGTTACATATATGTTACAGACAATTGTGTATTTCATACCCCGGAGAACTCCTGACGTTTTCGTACATTTAAAGGCCCTCTTTCCATTATTTCGCGCTTAGTTAAATCTCTTGGCAACTTTATTGACAAGCAAATTTTTTAATCCATTCATGGTAGCTTCAATAGTAGTTAATCTGTTTTTCTGTTGATAAACGTACTTACAAGTGTGTTAATTACATCATCATTTATATAAGGTAATCAAAATAAATAAGAAAGCGGCTTACCACATACGCAAATTTGCTGGGATGCATTAGTTCCTCTTACAAATTGCTTGAAATCCGATCTTTGTTGAATTGGGAATGTTGACAAACCAATAGGCCTTGTCAATTGCTTCACCTTGTTGTCTAAAAGATATCGAAGTATGTAGTCCAATTTGACCGTATTTTGATCCTGATGTCTACTCGAATGGAGGCATCTATTTCATGTGATAAAATGATCTATTAGAAGGATCAATTAAAAAATGTGTTTTTTTGACATAACCAGGAAAGGCCCTTATTATTATATGTT